CTTGACCCTTTTTTTTTTTAAAGCCAAAACTCTAAAATTATCAAACCATCCTTTGCCAGTATTAATTCTCCAGCTTTAGATTCTTCAGCTTCCTTTTGCTTTAAGTTGTTATATAACAACTTCCCTTTTTCTTGAATCACATTACATTCTATAGGTATGCCTTTCTTTTAGCAATCCTGCTCCCATATAAAAGCTGCACTACCAATACCAAATAAAAATACATGTTTCTCACCTGCTGGTGAGAAAAACAGTGCGAGGTTGTCTCACCTGCTGGTGTAGCTACAGTGAAGTCTTTACGAATTTTCTTTTCTTCTTTTTTCTTTCTTTTTTTTTTTAACAATGTTCTTATACTGGATGGATTCATTTATCTTGAAAAGGTAAGCAGCTGCAGCTGCAGACCTCAATCTATGCTACATATCAAGCAATTCAACTTTTTCTCATAATATCATGATTTTTCTTAATTCTTGGGAGTCCTTCCAGCATCACTATTAGCACTTCATATGGGTCCCATGGTGTTATTCAAGATTTACGGAATTGCCCTAAATACAATGAAACATATGCAAGAACCATGAGAGATCGCTTTTTGCTGTGATACACAATTTACTGGAGAAACTAGCTGCTCATGTGGAGACGATTAGTGTCATCAGATACTTGTAACACTTGAGCTCACCGCAATAGCAACAGGAGGTCGCTGAGATATTATTACCATAGTACAATATGCACTACAATTAATTTTATGCAGTTATTTAATATTACATCTTTATGTTTATTCACATTTCTTTCAACTGTGAACGGTGCTATTTATGGTCTGTAGGTGTTTGTGTGTATAAGTTTTAGTACATTTTAATTTTTATCATACATATTTTTAATGATAAAATGGACTAGTATCTACATATACTTTATGCACTCATAACATACCTAACTTTTTCTTTCTTTCTTTTTTCTTTTGAGAGGGAGTTTCGCTCTTGTTGTCCAGGCTAGAATTGCAATGGCATGATCTCGGCTCACCGCAACCTCCGCCTCCCGGGTTCAAGCGATTCTCCCGCCTCAGCCTCCCGAGTAGCTGGGATTACAGGCATGCACCACCATGCCTGGCTAATTTTGTATTTTTAGCAGAGACGGGGTTTCTCCATGTTGGTCAGGCTGGTCTTGAACTCCCCATCTCAGGTGATCCGCCTGCCTAGGCCTCCCAAAGTGCTGGGATTACAGGCGTGAGCCACCATACCCAGCACTTTTTCTTAATTTTTTCAATATATCTAAGCTACATGGTTTGTCTGAGAGAGAAACTGTGGCAATCTCCAAAAAAACCTTGCAATATATTTATTGAAGGAAATCTGCAGAAATGGACCTGTGCAGTTCAAATTCAAGTTGTTTAAGGGTTAACTAGTAATTTATCATTATTAGCATTATTCAATTTGGGGAACTTTCGCACCAATTCTCAATCTGATATACTAGGATACCATAGAGTTGATAACTCTTCTGATTGGCAGCGAAATGTTCAGAGGCATTTTTTCCTCCCATTGGTCAGTTCCAAACAGCCCATTACCAATTTATCATTGATTCACAGAATCTCAGGTTATAAGAGATCTTAGAGATTAATTTCTAGCAATGGATATAGCAGAGGAAGAAATAAGGTGTCTCATAAGGCAAACTCTGCCCAGAATAATACCAGTTTGCAGAGTTTCAAGATGGGTCCTTATGGAGTTATTTTCCCCTTCTCCTTCCATTAAACTGCTTAGATTTCTTTATGTTTGTTGCATTTTCAGTGAAGTTTTCTTTTAGAGATTTAAGGGACTTTGGCAGACAGGCCAAACACTAGTGGGGCCTCATTATCGAGTAATATGTTGCTAAGTATAAGACAGGGTAAAACTGAAAACTGCCTGGTGTCCTGCCATATGGCACGTTACAGAGTTAGAGTCAAGGGGCAAATCTTGCAGTTCTATTCTTCGCATACGAAAAGAAAACACTCATGCAAGACTTGGATTTTAGCTTCTTTACAACGTTAGAAATGGTTTTCCATCAACCACTACTAGTCTATCAGTTCTTCCTTCCTTTAGCTAGTGAGACATTTGTAATAGAATTGACTGTCATAACCGTCAGAGCCTAAGGTCATGAAATATGACAGATTCTTTGCTGTTGCAATTGGTGCTTATCTGGAAGCTTCCTTCTTGGCCAACAAGGCTCTACCCAAGGAAGCTAATGAGTTCATTAAAGTAGATCCCAAAGCAGGAAGCAGAATGTGCCTATTCATCAATGGAAGTGGGACTTCTTTTATACCGTTTAGGTTTAAGAATCACAATTTTTGAGAATGGACTTATGGAACTGTGATATAACTGCAAAAGCTATGGATAATAAGAGGAATGAGTCTACATCCATATATTTGATTTAACAGATGAATGAGGGTTCAACTCATTTTTTTAATAAAAAAACAGGGCTAGGTTTTCCCTTTAAAATACATATGCATTGAAATGAAAGAATATGCCCTTTGATTAAGTTTAAATGCTGGCCCAGGGATTAGTTTACAAAGCAGAAAAGTGGTTTGCCCACTTCCTACCTCATTTTCCAATTCTCTCTCATGTTCAATGCAGTGAATGTTACATTTGTGTGTGCCAACCAGGGCATGCTCACAGAAGGAAAGGGTGCTAGTGGAAAGAAAAAGAAAGACACCATGGAGAAAAACATATTAATGATCAATTTTTCCACCCCAAGAAAACAATCTCCAGGCTCCAGAAGACCGGGTGCAGTGATTCTTCTCCATTTCATTCAGAATTTGAAGCCCAGAGACAACACGGCTTTGAAAGAGAAGCATTTTGTGCTGCCTTTGTAGTCCGAAACAATAACAGCTCCCAAGTCCCAAAGAGAAACCTGTAGGGCATCCTTCAAACTTGTTACAGAGTACCTTATGTAGTGGCAACCCTTCTGTGGATCGTGTGAGACAGGTTCTTCCTCCTACCTGAAATGCCCACAATTCTGAATTAAAAAAAAAAAAAAAGGAGATTGTCCTTTATATGTGTATTGAGATGTGGACCTTGACTGAAGTCTTATCCCATCTGAAATTTACCATCTTCAAGAGGGATAATCCAATGTCCCTATGCATAGATGCAGATCATCAGAGTTAACAGTGTTGTAATAGATTGTGAACTTTCGGACTCCATGGCTGGGGAAGGAGAAAGAGATGTGTCTACAGGGACTGGCTAGTAGGGAGACTGTACCAAAACTCTAAAGCACAAGCATACTGCTTATGTTTTCCTCTTAATAATAATAGGCCAGGCACGGTGGATCATGCCTGTAATCTCAGCACTTTGCAAAGCCAAGGCAGGCAGATCATTTGAGATCAGGAGTTCGAGACCAGTCAACCCTGTCTCTACTAAAAATACAAAAATTAGCCAACCTGTAATCCCAGCTACTCTGGGAGGCTGAGGCAGAAGAATCGCTTGAATCTGGGAGGCGAAGGCTGCAGTCAGCCAAGATCACACCACTGCACTCTAGCCTGGGCGACAGAGCAAGACTCTGTCTCAAAAATACATACATACATACATACATACATACATACATACATACATACAATAATAAACCACATTTACTCTAGAATATTCAGAGATTCTGAATTCCACTAATTTTTTTGTGTCTCCCCCTTCCCCTTTCTCCAGTGTACAGCACAATTCATAGCACATGCTAAGTGCTCAAAACAGATGTGTTGAATCAGTCAAATGAATACAATACATACCCTTCTGCACATGTTTTCTTCTGATCTTCTATTTCTTCAGCTATAATGTGGGGATGATGTTATTTCGTGGATTTGTTTTCAAGATTAAATAATATAGCATCCCTTATACAACGTGTAAAATGTCAAATGCTATGCTCAAAGGTACTAGTAGAATTTTAAGTCTGCAGGTATGTTTCAGATTAAAAAAAACCATTACCAAAGCTATAGGTGGGATGAGTTAATTAATCTCAGACACATTTAACTAACAGGAAGAAAGAAATAGGGCATGGTAGGAGGAAAGAAAGGGGGACAGTTAGGGATACAGTGAATACTTTTAAAGTAAGTTGAATTATTTCATACGGGGTAATTTTTCTTGTCACAATAAATCACCCTGTGCCCCACCCCCGCTCCAGGAAGGCAGGGAGGTTGTAAAGGAGAAGCGAGAAGAGGGTTAATTTGAGCTCCCTTCTGCCTGCTGCAGTCACAGTGCATGATAGAATAATGAAGGGCCACATATTTCATCTGAACTTCCTCTGTGGTCTTTTTTATATTAAAGTCTTTCACTGTTACAGGACTGTGCTTGGAAAAGTTGGAAAACTTTTCCCTTGGTGGAGAAAAGCCCTCATCAGACGCAATCCAACAAATGAATGGAGTTATTTCCTTGGCCCAACATGTCCATCCACTGGCATACGAAATATTCATAGAAACATCTTTCCTCACTTCCAAGGCCGGAATTTTACTCTCCCCTGGCGTTGCCTAGTATCAGATGCGCAGATTTCGAAAGCGAGCAGGCAACAGACTTGGCTTTCGAGCCAGCGTGGTTGGCTTCTCTAGGAGTCGATGCGACTTACTGTCCTGTGTGGTAACTTCTCCCGGGAGCAGAATGTGTAAAATAAACAGTTGCTGAAAAGCATGAAGAATTAACGAAGTGAAAATCTCGAGCTATTTGTTCGGCAATTGACACGCAAGTGACCTCCTTAAATGCCTAGTTATTTAAGGACGTTTAGAACGAGGATGAATGAATCTTCAGGGCGCTTACTTCGCACCGGCGTGTAAATTTCTTTAGTCTTTCGGGAAGTGGCGGTAAATTCATACAAATCCAGCAGGGAGGGGAGAGAAGAGGGTAAAACCACGATCTCGGAGCGCTCTTCTCAGTCCTTTGGAAAGACTTGCCTTTGCTGCCCGGAACCCTGGAGGTTACAGCTGGGAGAACCCGGAGGCGCTAGGACCTGGTCGGCGCCTGGCTGCGGCCGCTTTCAAGAGGGCGGAGGAGGGAGAGGAGGAGGGGGATGTGGGAAAGGAGGGGTGTTAAGGGGGGCGGGGGAAGTCATTTATGCAGAGCAGGAGCTGCTGCCATTGCCACTCAGAATCCCCGCGCGCTGCTCAGAGCCGGAGGGAGCGCTGGGAGCGAGCAAGCGAGCGCTCGGAGCCCGGGCCAGCAGAGGGGGCGCCCGGTCGCTGCCTGTACCGCTCCCGCTGGCCATCTCCGCCGCGCTCGGGGCCCCGGGAGGAGCGAGACCGAGTCGGAGAGTCCGGGAGCCGAGCCGGGCGAAACCCAACTGCGGAGGACGCCCGCCCCACTCAGCCGCCTCCTGCGCCCGAGCCGGGGAGCATCGCCGAGCGCCCCGCGGGCCGGAGAGCTGGGAGCACAGGTCCCCGAAGCCCCAGGGATGGTCTAGGAGCCGGCGCAAGGCTCGCTGCTCTGCTCCCTGCCGGGGCTAGCCGCCTCCTGCCGATCGCCCAGGGCTGCGAGCTGCGGCGGCCCAGGGCTGCGCGCCGGGCGGCCCAGGCCGGAGAAGTTAGTTGTGCGCGCCCTTAGTGCGCTGAGCCAGCCAGCGAGCGAGGGAGCAGCGAGGCGCCGGGACCATGGGCTGGGGGAGCCGCTGCTGCTGCCCGGGACGTTTGGACCTGCTGTGCGTGCTGGCGCTGCTCGGGGGCTGCCTGCTCCCCGTGTGCCGGACGCGCGTCTACACAAACCACTGGGCAGTCAAAATCGCCGGGGGCTTCCCGGAGGCCAACCGTATCGCCAGCAAGTACGGATTCATCAACATAGGACAGGTAACGAACTAGAGGCTGGCCCAGCCCTCGGCCCTGAAGCCACTGAGGGCTTCTTGTCCCCTCTGCGTGGAACCCCCTCCCCCCTTCCAGATGTGCTCTAGCAGCTGTTGCCCTAACTCTTGGGCGATGCTCTGTCTCTTGCGCGCGCGCGCGCGTACACACACACACACACACACACACACACACACACACACACCCCAGAGTTGCCGGGTCCGTGTTTTGTTTACTTGTCTTTTGCAGGCCACGCGGGACTGGTAGGGTCTCGGGAAAAATCCAGAGTGCCCCCGTGGTGGTTTTAGAGACGGCTGGACCTTTTGACCTGAAAAGTTGAGTAGCACTAGTAATCTGAGGCAAAGTCTCGGAGAGGGTGATCGTGGGGAGAGGGTGAAATGAGGTCTTTTGGGGGATAGGGGATGAGCGCGCCTGATGTCTGCGGGTAAGGGAAAGCCTTTCCTGCTCGGACCTGAATTTAGCCCAGAAAGAAGTTTCCTCTTCTTGGGCGAGGGAACCGCTGGCGCTGGAAACGCCGGAGGCGCGGGGACTGGAGCTGGAAGGGAGGAAAAAGGAGGGGGAGGGAAGAGGGGCGGCACCCGGTGTGAGTGCAGATTTAGGGGAGACATCTAGGCTTCCTTGCCTTAAGCGAGGTCCGCGTGGGGGCTCCCAGAAGGGAGTTGGAATGGGGAGGTGGGAAACTTCCGAAACCGGCTGGCTGGGTTCCGCTCCGGGAAAACTAGGAGTCTTACCCCGGGACGGAAGGTGCCGAGCCGGGAGGTTGCGCCGTGGGGCGAGAGTTGGGCAGGCAGCAGGGGCGCTGGGTTTTTGTGGGGTGCCGCTCGCGGGCTTTTGGCAGAGCTCCCCTGCTAGGGAGAAATGCCAATAAACTAAGGTGATGCTATGAGGATGACTGGAAGCGTAACAGATTTGGAGGTACTACGGGTTCAGTAGTCTTGGCTTTCTGGTTCTCTTCCCCCCACACCCCTGCGAGAAATGGGGGTAGAGAGGGCTATGAAATTGGGTTCCAAAAAGTACCTCCCTCCGCATACACACCGCAAGCGTCTTTGAGGCTGGCCGGAGGAGCGGGTCCTGGCTGGGCTCAGGCGAGAATCCGCTAGAATGGGAGGTGAGGGTGATAGATGGCGCCTTTCCAGCAGGCGCGCTTTGGGGACTGCCCGGGGTGCACGCACCCTGCGTGCTCTGCCTGGGGGAAGGGAGAGGGAGGTGCTGGCTGGTGCCAGAGGAGTGGGAGAGTACGGACAGTTTCTGAGGCCATTGCGTTCCACGCCCAGGAACCCGGGGACACCCCACCCGCCTCCTCCCCGCCGCCTGGGGGATGCGGCACCTGGAGAGGAGGCAGAGCTGCTGTTGCCGAGTCTAGAAGGAGCTGGGGAGCGCGGGGAGTGTTCCGAGCAGCAGGAGCACAAGATCTTGCACTTTGCCCGCTCAGAGGGAGGACATATTCCAGAGAAGCCAGCCCTGTGGAGAACTGAGACTAGGGCAAGGGGCACGGTTTGTATTCCCTTCCGCCCCTGGAAGTAGGGAAGTAAGGGAAGCCAGCCAGATTTTGTTGCTTGAGTGACTGTCATCTGCGGAAGATTTCCATTCTAAAGGCTTGTTGGGATTCTACTGGCTGCTTTTTCTCTAGGAGAAAACACTGAGTCCGTTCAGGTCTTTTTACATGAACTTAAAGTTGGGCACTGCCTATGCTCTGGGAATGGAACTGGGGAGGTTAGCACTGAAAGTAGCTAGTACTATTAATCTTTCCAGAGACTCATCTCGGGTTCTGCTAACATTGAACATCTCACACATGCCAGGCATATTTGGAGGAATAAATTCTTGACCATACCCTTCTTTCTAAATCTCAAAACGACCTTGTTTGGTGAATATTACCTCACACAGGAGACGAGGAAACCGAGACCAGCTAAACAGTGGCAAAGCCATGATTTAGACCTGGGACTTTGTTGCAGGCCCAGCCCCCCATGGATCCTGCCTTTTAGGGAACCCTTCCATCCCATGATGAAGGAGGAAGAAAGTAAAATATCCATTTCCTTGAATTCTGATTTAATGGCTCAGTAGACTGGAAGCAAATATCTGGTCTCAGTTCACAGATACTTAGTTCAAACAAACCTAGATTTCTTGACGTTAAGAACAAGGGCAGAAACAGCTGTTACCTTTCTGAATTAATTGAGCAGAACTGGTATATGACAGAATCTGGCATAGTGAGATGGGAGAAATTGTCACCCAACCCACTTTTGAACGAGCAAACATTGCAATGTCCAGCAGCCTCTGCCTGACTTTTTATAAAAGGCCTTATAATGAAGATTCATGGCTTCTCATTAAAAATAATAATACTAAGAAAGTTTACATACAAATAACACCAAGAATGATTTATTGTGGTTTTTACAGCGACAGTGAGGAAATTTAGTGCTTACAGAGGTTACAGAGGACCCCTTGAACCAGTGTAAAAAGATCAGCTCTTCTAGAGTGGAGAGCATTTCCTCTGTAGATCAAAGGAGCTTAAGCCTATGCTAAGTCTTTGGGGTGGTAAATTGAGTTCACACGTGCAGTATCATTGCACTGTAAGGGCCAAATGTATTTCTTAATCATCCTTTACTGCTCTGACCTTTCAACACTTTAGACATCCTTTTGTTACTCTTTTCATCAGTAAACCAGCTGTGGTAATCAGCTGAGGGCAGTCACTAATTTGCAGATACCTCTGGATTGTTCTGTAAATTTTTACCCATTTGGGCTTGGGGTCTCATGTGTTGCAAATTGGAACTGAAACTTGTTATTATTTCTGCAGCCATTTACTATCCTGGTAGTATTTTTTTATATCTTTGGTGTGATATTCTAGGTGAGTAAGGTAGTGAATTTTTACCACAGTGAAGGTACAGTTTTGACTGTTTACTCAGAATATCAATGTAATGTTTTGTGTAGCATCTTAGCATTTAAAAGTCACGAGAGGTAACATTTCTGGCTGGGCCGGGGGATTTCTATGGGATCAATAGTTGTGCCTCTTCTGTTAAAAAAAAGATGGGATGTACAGAGTAACACAAGAAGAAAGCAAACAAACAAGCAAAAAGGACGGGCTTGATTTCCAGAAGGAAACATAAATGAGGATTTTCTTGCCTTTGTTTATAGAGCTAGCATATGTTTTCACAAAATGTTTATATTCTGTGAATAGTTGTGCTTTGAAATCTTGCGATAATAATACTTAACCATAATCATTGTTAGTTGTTGTCATGTTAGCATATATTATCTTTTGGTTGGTATCAGAGTCAGCTGCAAAATGCTCTCCTTTTCTTACCTACAAGTTCTGACTACCAGCCCTCTTAGGATCTAGTGGAAGCAGCACCTTCTGAGCTGGCCGAGGGTAGGAGGTGTGCATGCCTATTGACCTGCACGGGAATGGAGGGAGAAGCCTTTGTCCTCCCTCACTAATCATGTGCTCTGACCCTTTGAGCTCACGATCTACTGGTTAGACAATTGAAATGATATAAAGGAATAGGACCTGACATATTGTTAATTGTGGACCTCCATTTAGAGTAAATCTACAAAGGAGAATTAATATCTGGTTATTTGAATTCAGGGAGAAGATCCCTTGTGAACAAACAGATTGTTTGCAATGTGCAATAGCTGTATTTATCCTTCTGTCAGTTACTTATAATCCTTGATTCCAGCCTGAGATTACCAGTAGCAAAGCCCCTTCCCCAAACCACATAACAATTTGAGTAACACCTCTGAAGGATAAAACTAGATGCAAGCCACGCTGGGGAAGTATTTTACCTAGAGCCCCCATTGACAGTATGTGGACTTGGAAACTCTGGAGAGGCCACTTTCGAGGCTGTGAAAGCAGGAAAGTCACTGAACTTAATGGAGCCTCTGTTCCTTCATCTGTAAAATGATAAATCTCTAGATAATAGAGTGAGTTAACTGTGCATTGCTCAGCACATAGTTAGACTTGCAGCGAAAGGTTTATTTAATCTGAATCTGAGGAGAAAGGTCAAAATAAATGAGATCCAAAGTTTTAGATAAGGAGAAAGGAAGACATTTTAAAAATGGAGATGCGAAAGGTGAAGATCAGGAAAATAAATTTTTGAAGATTGAATTGTAAGAGCCATATCATAGCTTTGTGCAATTTTCCTGTTCAATGAGTAATTTAAAATATTAATAGTTTAGAAAGAGTTTCATGTTAGATTCTAAACAATTAGGATTGATTTCCCATGGCAGGGCCCTCTTCCCTCATTGATCCCAGTCACAGGCCATGAATTGTTATAAGATAAGCATACTGCAGATGGACAAAAGGGAAGAAAAAAACCTGAAAAATTTTCTTAAATCATATTCGCATTTACATTTGATTTATTATTTTGGATGTAGTTTGTATGAGTAAAGCTAGAAGAAATATTTTTCAAGTAGGTAGGAAGAGATACATTCGCAGGGAGAACTTTGTTCAGAGATGTCTTGAACACCTCCCACCCTGCTAATTAATTTTGAGCTGTGAATATTATAGGACGCTTGAAATGTTGATTGACGGTGGGCAGTGAATTCTGGGTGCTTATGGATAGTCCTGGAAATAGGGGATGTGGTTAGTCTGATGGGCTGTATGGGAGTGGATTGTGCTTGCCTAATAAATTCTTAGGCATTTTGTAAACAGGAGAGTTAATTGGTGCTGTAGTCCCAGATTGGTCTTGGTGTGATAAATCTGGCTTTGCATAGGCAGCTCTTCATGCCCAAGAACCTCAGTCCTGACCCCTGCTAGCCACTCTCATATGCATATTTCTTATCATGAGGCAAATGAAGGGATAGTAGGGGAACCTTTGCTGGAAAAAGCAATTCAGAGTGCATGGCCTGATGATGGCAGGTCTGTTGCATTAACCTCATAGATAAGGAATGGCTTGTATGTGGTCATTGGGGATTTTGGGGTCTATTTGAAGTGAAAAACTGCATTTTTGTGAGCCTAAAGGCAGCTGACTTTGCCTTATGACTGTCTTTCATGGGCTTGC